AGGGGAGAGGGGGGACAGGGGAGAAGACACGGTGGGAGAGGGGACACGGGGGAGAGGGGACACGAGGGGAGAGGGGACACGGGGGAAGACACTGGGGGAGAGGGGACATGGGGGATGTAGTTCAGTGATGATGGATGGTTGGTGAGGGGATATGACAGTGGACCAGGGCTGATGGCTGCAACCCTGGCCCGAGCCAGCCTGAGGAGGGCCTGGATGAGTGGGACATCCAACCAGCTATCCTTTACCAGCCCCCAGGGACCCCCTGCACCCTGGGTGGGCATGGCCAGAGCCACCATGGGCAGAGGCAGAGCTGGGTCCAACCACATGCTGCCCAGGAGGACTAGGTTGGCCTCCACCCTCCTCCCTCAGCCATCCGCGACCGCTGGGTTCAGGTGGTGCCGTCCCCTCTTTTTTCAGGAAAGCTCATCTGAGGGGAGCCCAGCCCAAGCCCTCATCTCCACCTGTGGCCTCACGCACACCACACAGCCACAGAAAAGTGGACCAGGCATCCCCCTGGGAGCCTAAGCACCTGAACACACCACCTTCCATGTGTGGTTAGGACCTCACTGTGGCAGACGATCACAGGGGAGGGAGGCAGAGACATGAGGACAGGAGGGAAGGGGACGTGGCCATGGAAACTGAGGCCGGAGGGGGCCCCAGAGCCCAGGAGCACCGGGGAGAGGCCAGAGGACCCGCCCCGAGCCCAGAACCAGCTCTGCCCACCCCAAGCCTCGAGCCCGTGGGATCATCCTGGAGCTCTGACCGCCAGAGCTGTGGGAGAATAAACGCACGTGGCTTCACCTCACTGAGCTGCGGTCAGTGACCGACGCGCAGCCGCTCAGAAGGGCGTTCCCATAGCCCCGGTCCCGCTCCCACTTCCGCTCCCTGTCCGTAGTTCCCATCGTTGCCCGTCCTTTCTCCTGCTCTAGAACTCCGTATCCTGCAGACTCAGACGCAGGTTTTTCTATGGCCCTGGCTCTCCCACCCCAACAGCACGTGGCTTGCAGGGTCTTCGTCCTGGGCTCCGTCTGCCGGGCCTCGGGTCACGTGCAGGTCCCGCCATCGGCAGCAGCTCTGTGGCTGGGGTTGAACGCATCCTCAGTGGGTGCTGCCTCTCCCGGGGTGACGGGGCCGTCTGCCGAGCATCCGTGGGCCTCTCCCGGGGTGACGGGGCCGTCTGCGGAGCTTCCGTGGGTCCCTCGGGGCCGTCTGCGGAGCGTCCGTGGGTCCCTCGGGGCCGTCTGCGGAGCGTCCGTGGGTCCCTCGGGGCCGTCTGCGGAGCGTCCGTGGGTCCCTCGGGGCCGTCTGCTGAGCGTCCGTGGGCCTGTCCGTGGCCCCTCCCCCATTACTTCAGAGACCACTGGCTTGGGGACAGCATCCTGTCCCGCTGGCCACGTGGCCTGGGAGCCCCTCGAGGGGTCATCTGAGGGCGGGGGCTGCTGACCTGTGCCACAGGGAGGCGAAGAGGCTGTGGGTTCCAGGTGGGGATAAACAGCTACCTGCAGCAGCCACCAGGCCAGACAGAGCCTCAGCTGGCTCAGATTCCAGACACCGCCCCTCAGCCCTGACCCCCAAGCCTCCTGCTCCCCGGCGTCCCCTCCCCAGCTCAGACAGCCCCATCCCGACACCAGAGACCAGGGGCTATTTTCTCTGCTGAGATGCCATAAAATGCCTGGCATCGGGGAGGGGACAGCTGGTGCCGTCGGGGAGGGGGCCCTGGGCTGTCTTGGATGGTGCCAGACCAGGCCTGCTCCCTGCACAGCCTGGAGCTCCCTGCCTCCCAAGTCTGTACAAGGCTGACTTCCCAGCCCCGTGCACACAGCAGCAGCCGGGAACCCCCTTCCCACAGAGGAACCCCCTTCTTCTGCTTCTCACTGGGAGAGCGAGGCCACCAGTGTCCCTCAGGCCCAGGCAGGGTCTGCTCAGAACGCCTGTTGACTGAGCCCCTGCCCGGGCACAGCTGGGCATCCCCATGGCTCTGCCTCTGGCATCAGGACCTCTCTGGATGCAGCACTTCGTGGCTGAGGGTGGATGCCAAGAAGTGTCCGGGGCAACTTAGCAGCAGCAAGCCCAGCAGTGCTTCCTGGCCTGCCGCTCACAGCCTTGTGTGCACCCCAGGGAGCCTCCAAGGCATGCATGTCTGTGTCACCGATGCAGACAAGTTCGGGCCACCTCGCCCACGGGGGCTGGAGCTGGCTGGGTCCAGTGTGTGTGGCTCCACAGATCCCTGCCCAGGATGCAGGCTCCGGAGGCCACAGGGTGGGGAGGCGCCCCCGCCATGCCCGCCGTGCCCAGCAGGTGGCAGCAGTGCCCCGGGAAGCGCACAGGCCACGGGGTTGGGGAAGCCACTGCCTCCTCTGTGCGCGGCGGGTCTGGTGTTCTCCGGGTCCAGACGCCAGTGCGAACCCCGGCCGGTCCTCCCGACAGCAGGCACCAGGACGCCGCATTCCAGGGGCGATGACGACGCAGGAGTGTATTTCAGGACGGCCCTGGCCACGATTCCGAACTCGCCCCACGCCCAGTTTGGACCTCAGGCTGAGCCTCTGCTCGCCCCAAGCCTGGCCAGCCCCTTGGCCTCGCTGGGGAGGGCCAGGACCTCAGGGTCTGCAGCCCCCTGTGGACTCCACGGGTGGCACCGGCAACAGTCAATGAGACGGGGCTTCTCCCCACAGCGCAGCCCCTCACAGGGCAGCATCCTGGACGGTCGGGTGGGCTGAGGCCAGAAACGGCCATTTTCTCTTAAAATTTAAGACTCGTGAGTCCTGGGACAGAGACCAGAGGACTCAACCAGCATTTATCAAACACCTACTGTGTGCCGGGCCCTGCTGTGAGCTGGTCCCACTGTGTGCCAGGTCTAGTCCCACCTGTGGGGAGCGGGGTCCAGTCCACACCCCATGCCCTGCTCAGAGGCCTCTCTCAGGAGCACCCCCTTCGCCTACCTCAGGGCTAAGAGCAGGAAAGATTCTCAGCGTCACCACGACCCACGAGAACAGCAAAACCAAACCAGCGTGCATGCACACACACACACACGCACGCATGCACACGCGCACACACACACACACGCGACATCCGACTGCCGGCGGGGACACCGGCCCTTCCATGCTGCCCGTGGGGACATAAGGTGCCCAGTCCCTGGAAAGCAGCCAGACCGTTTCTTCCACCACAGTGAAGCGCACACATCACATGCCTCAGAGAGAAGTGAAATCCGAGGAAACAGGAACAGCCTTCACGTAAAGCCCACGCCCATTTACGAGGCTCAGTCTTTTCTTTTCCCCCCAGGCTGGAGTGCAGGGGCACTATCACAGCTCACCGCAGCCTTGACCTTCCAGGCTCAAGTGATCCTCCAGCCTTGGCCTCCCAAGTAGCTGGGACCACAGACGCATGCCACCACACCCGGGTAAGTTTTGTATTTTTTTTGTAGAGATGGGAGCTCACTGCGTTGCCCAGGCTGGTCTCGAACTTCTGACCTCAGGTGACCCTCCTGCCTCTCCCCCCACTGTGCTGGGGTTGCAGTGTGAGCCCCACGCCTGGCCCGAGACTGCTGGGTTTTGGATTTATCAGAGCTGGAACTGCACTCTAAATAGGATATGCAAAGTAGATGTAAATCACACCTCACGTATGTGATTTGTATGCTAATTTTCTTGTAACCTGGGGCAGGGAAGCATGTGGCCCTGCTCTGAGTGACAGCTCACAGGTGGTGGTCCCTCTGGGTTGGGAACTGGGTCCTCATATCTCATGGTGCCTCTGGCCTTCCACGGTGCACCATGGAACGGGTGCACCATGAAGGGGTGGCCTCTGGGCACAGGGCCAAGGCCCTGATCACTGCACCCTGACCGTCCCCGTGAAGGGCCTGGACCTGGCTTCCGGTCTTTGGGTCCTAGCAGCTCCTGCCCTCCTCCAAGAGGCAAACACTGGAGCTCACGGTGGCTCGGCAGAGCAGCGTCTCCTTGCTGGGCAAAGCCCCAGAGTCGAAGGCCTCGTCCGTGAGCCTGCACAGGGCTCCATCTCTCCCTGCCTGCTGCTTGGCTGCCTGGCCCATCCACCCACACTCTCTAACCCATTAATGCACCTTCCCCAGATTGGTGCGTCTGGGGGCAGAGGCTGAGAGCCAGCAGCCGTATCCTGCAGAGGGCTCCAGGTCCCAGCTCCACCCTGCCTGGGGCTCTCTCTCCAAACAGCCAGGACAGGCAGGCTCCCCTGCTCCCAGGGGTGAGGCCAGAGGGTGAGTGAGGGCTCCTGGGGTCAGCTCTCATCTGTTCCTGTTCTCATACAGCCCCCAGCATGGGTCCTGGCTCCCGACAGGCCTGGAGAGAACCCCCCAACTCACACACGGGCTCACAGCTTCCACAGCGCCTTCCCGCCTAGAGTGGCACACGAACGCCCCCATCCCCACCAGGCTGCCCAGGCTGCAGGAGGCGCTACCCTCAGGGCCAGGTCAGCCCCAGGGTACCTCCTCCCCAAGCCCCAAACCCTGAGGTCCCCGCACAGGGGCCCCAAAGCCCAAGAACAAACCCATAAGACAAACACTGTGGGAAGGGGGCAGGGATCCCACGGAGGGCCA